AAGAATGGCCATAAGGTCCATCCAGCCCAGTAACCTCTCTGCTAACAGTGGCCAATGCCAGGTGTCCCAGAGGGAGTTAAGTGAACAGGTACTGATCAAGTGATTTCTCTCCTGCCATCCCTTTCCACCCTCTGACAAACAGAAGCTAGGGACACCATTCCTTACACATACTGGCTAATAGCCATTAATGGACTTAACCTCCATATATTTAACTTGTTCTCTTTTAAACCCTGTTATAATCCTAGCCTTCACAACCTATTCAGGCAAGGAGTTCCACAGGTTGACTCTGCGCTGTGTGAAGAAGAACTGCCTTTTAAGTTCAAGAGTGTGGAGGTGCATTTAATATCTTTTTGTAAAGTAGAAGAGTTTGTTTTGAATGGTATTTGGAAAGTCATACTATGCCAACATCAGAATATTCAATTAATTTGGAAAATTGCCTTTGCTATTTTTAATGTAAGCCTTTTTCCCCAGTGAGTGTATTTAGATGATCTCTACAGTAAGAGTATATTCTACTTTTCATTTCTACTATTCTAATCAACTTCTAAGTAGTGTTTTGAGTATTTCAGCATTGTTTTTTTACCTCCTTTTGAATAAATTACAGGTACTTGTAGCTAAGAAAGCAAGATTTTATTATTACTTATGACTAATAAGGAAATAGCTGAAAGGCATGACTGAATTTTTGCAAGGTATAAGGGTTGAAGCAAGAATTTAGTGTCCAGCTGCAAAGTGTACTCATGTCCTTTTTGCTTAAGACATGTGCTGTTTCTAGTTCAGAATCTTCTAATTGACTACATTTTACAATATCTGCCAGCTTTGGGGTTGGTTTATGAACTTGACACATGTCAAGTTCATGTCCTGGTTTATTTTCTGTGGTGAGTTCTCCCCTGTCACAAAACTTATTCCAAACTAGAGACTTGTGTTTTTATCCCACTATTATCCATTTCTAATTGGGTTCACCTTCGTGGTATTTTGTGTCAGAAGAGAAGGTAGCAGCAGAGGACTTTCTTATTTCGATTATGTGTGTTTAAATAAGGAGGTATTAAATAATGAATGGTGCTGAAGTCTCTTTCTGTACTAGCATCTTTGACTTGAGCCTGCAAGGAGTAGAGTGCTTCCTAGGTACGCTGCTTCCACTAGCTCTTAGTACTTCCTAGGAGACTCTTCCCTCACACAACTGGGCCTTTTCCAGACCTGGTGATGTGAAAGCAAGCAATTCTTTCTCCGAGATGGCAGCTGAGACAGCTAGTCTATGCAAAATAAAAACAGGTTCTGTGAAAATCAATTACTGTATAAGAAAACAATGAAATACTACATTTTTAGCAAAGAAGAGCTTTTCCTTCATCCACAGGGACAATTACAGAAGAGAAAAAAATGAATAATCCCTTGAGACGAGAAGAAGAACAAAGAAGCACAGCGTCTCATAAAAAAACAGCGTCTCATAAAAAAACAGTAATAAGTAACAAACTTGTCACACACAAACTGGTCAAATACCACATCAGGGGAAAATTTAGAGAAACAATTTCAAAATATATAAATAATGCCTTCTTGGATCAGCTAGTTGGAGAGTATTCAAAAGGAGACATTATTTGTGATTTAGTACTAAGGAATCCATAGTAGTTGAGTAAAAGGTGACCATAACTGAGCCACTAATATTATTAAATTCATAGTCATCCATTCCAAGAGATTAGAAGGGACCATTCTGATCATCCATTCTGACCTGCAGCATAGCACAAGCCATAGAACTTCCCCAATACGGGGGGGGGGGGAATAAACCTTCCAAAAATGGGCACGATGACATGTTTTTGAAAAGATAGATTTAAAGTAAAGTGACGAATCAAGTAAAAAAATCACTACCGTCAACTGACAGCTGAAACCCCTGGGTGCAGTGTACTGTCTACATCAGCATAATGTATAACAGAACAGCAGGAGTCTACCATCCTTCTAAGGAAACCAGGGAGAGAAGGGGAAGGAAAACAATATGATCAAACGTGAAGGTTCAAGAGGCCATTCATGGCAAACAAGTATCTCTTAAAGTGAAAATCCCCATTTCTTGTAATTACTTGTGATAATGGTGTTTCAGGGAGTAGCCCTATTAGTCTGTTTCAACAAAAACAAAGAGGAGGCCTAGCGCACCTTAAAGTCTAACACATTTATTTGGACATAAGCTTTGGTGTGCTGGGACCCACTTCCTCAGACTGGGAGTGGCTAGCTTATTACAAAAAGTAATTTTCCCTCTTTTGGTATTCACATCTTTGTTAAGCAAAGGAATTCTTTCCCCAAGAATTCAGCCACACAGATAATACTAATCAGGTTTATTAGCAATTAATTGGGGAGGGCTCAACAGTAGTAGCTTCCAAAGAATTATTATCAGTGCAAGTCATATATCGGTCAGATACGTCATACATATCGTTATAGCGGCTACGATTCATTTATCAGTTCTTCAAGAAAGAACAGATCTTTGCACAAGAATCTGGGGCCAAAGTAAGGGGAGAGAAAGGACTGAGTGAGATAAGGAAAGAAAGAGCAGAGAGAGCAAGGTTTAACAAAACAGCTTCTTATAAACCTGTGAGAAGTACGGAGGAGGTTATAGTTTTAACACTCAATGAAAGTTTCAGCAGTGCTCAAGGTCCTGTTGCAGCTGTGCTGTTATCTTAGTCAGGCCTGGAGGCCCAGCACAGGAAACAAGGCTTTGTCCTAACACCTTCTTATCAACTGTTGGGAGTGGGCCACATTCACCCTGATTGATTTGACTTTGTTAGTGCTGGTCCTCTGCATCCTAATGTAACACTACCATCTTTGCATGTATATATACAGGTGCCAAACTGAAGTTTCCATTTCATGTGTCTGACAAACTGGGCTCTAGCCCAAGAAAGCTTGTTAGTCTTTAAGTTGCCACAGGAGTGCTCCTTGTTTTTGTGGAAGGTAAAACATAAAATGGAAATTAGGAGAGCTAAGAGGGGTGTGAAGAGAACATAGATAACAAGAAAGGTTTTAAGTGCATAAGGGTACGTCTACACTTGCTCCCTAGTCCGAACTAGGGATGCAAATGTAGGCAACTGAAATTGCTAATGAAGCAGGGATTTAAATAACCTGCGCTTCGTTAGCATGATCTCGCTGGCGCGTTACTCCGCTCAACAGCTGTTTCGAAAGTGAAAGCGCTCCCTGGGACGTTAGTTCAAACCAAACCCCTTGATTCGAACTAACATTAATGAGGAGTAACGTTAGTTCGAACCAAGGGGTTTGGTTCGAACTAACGCATCCCAGTGCACGCTTTCACTTTCGAAACAGCTGTTGAGTGGAGTAAAGCGCCGGCGAGATCATGCTAATGAAGCGCAGGGTATTTAAATCCCCACTTCATTAGCAATTTCGGTCGCCTACATTTGTATCCCTAGTTCGAACTAGGGAGCAAGTGTAGACGTACCCTAAAGAAGCTGTTAGTCTGTCACAGAACCAGTGAGTTGGCTAGAAGACCAGAGGTAAAGGGAGCAGTTAAGGAAGGTAAGGGTATTACAAACTGACTGCAGCTCTGTGTCTTGGTCTATGCCTCAAAAAATGGTCGAGTGGTACCTGCTCTTTTTGGGTATGTCTACACAGCAAAGTTATTTCGAAATAACTTTCCTAGCATCTACACACGCCAACTGCTGTTTTGAAATTAAATTGAAATTAACGGAGGGTTTATTTTGAAATTGGTAAACCTCATTCCACAAAGAATAAGACCAATTTCGAAATTGCTATTTTGAAATAAGTGCTGTGTAGATGCTTATTTTGAAATAGAGGACCTCCTGCCCTTTCCAGGGTGCCCTGCTGGCCGTCCTGGCCACAAGGTAACTTCTGACCTGATACCCTGCCGGAACTAGTTCCAGCCGGCCTTAAATACAATTCAGCGTCCAATCCGTGTGGATGCATTATTTCGAAATAGCAAAAAGCATTTTGTGTCTAGACGCGTTACTTCAAAATAAGATATTTCGAAATAATGCTGTAGTGTAGACATACCCTTTGGGTACTTATAGAGATTCATCTGTTGAAAAAGGAAGGTCAAGCTAATGAATTTAACAGCAATGGTTTGGATGATATGTTTCCAGGAGAGCTGAAGAAATATAACAATGAAGTGGCTGATCTGCTAATAAAAATACACACTGTATTTAATCTGTAAGTGCAGGTTGCTCTCAGGCATCAGTACAGGCTACTGTCCGAGACACATTATTGGACTAAATGGACCATTAATCTGATCTGACAATTCTTATGTGGAAGGAAAGGAAATCTAGCTTAACATGCATTTCCAAACAGGTCATGCTGGCATTCTGTTAGTTGTTGCTGAAACAATCTGTTATTCCTCAACATAAACTGACAAAAATATTTACAAAAAAAAAGTTATGATAGCTGCCATTTCTGAGCTTGATTGTGACTAGCTCTGAGAAATTTTGGTGTATTTTATATTCAAACCAGAAAGCCATGTTAAAAATAAACTAGGGTTGATTTTGTTTGGTGTAAATTTTCCATTGCTATATCACAAAAATCAGTTGGCACCAGAGCCCTGCCCCCCTTATCTTTTCATCGGTGATAAATGACAGTTTTGGTACTGGAAGCAAGATTAAAAATAAAAAGGATTCCTAATAATACACTATCTGTTCCTTTTGCTATATTATACATGCAAAAGTACTGTATGATAGGAAATTGGCAGTGACATTTGAGATTTGATTCAGAATATTGTTAAAAATTAGAATTACAAATGTAAAAATGAATTGTTCTGATGTATGCTAAATTGTCTTGTCTCATTATGTATATTTTTAGAAAATTGGTGATAATAGCAAAAATACCTGTCACATTTACCAACCTTGTAAGGAAAATACATTGTCCTGTGACTCTCTTAAAGGATAATGCATGTGAAGTAGACCTCTATTAGGATATAGAAAATCTCAGAGTGTTTTTAAGCATTTGTTTGACTCTTGTGTACACTATGTATTTTTCATGAATTAACAGAATGTTTTGTTACTTTTCAGGCTGTCTGATGCATGGGAAAATGATATTGGAGTTCATCCTCTAACATTTCCATCAAAAACCTGTTTGGAATTGTTGTTGATACTGAGTTTGAGTACTGCTTCTCTGCCACCTTCACTACGCTTCATGAACTCCTTCCAGGTAATGAACTGCCTTTCATCCAATATAGAGGTGTTATCTGTATGAAAGAGCAGTCCCCCTGGAGATCCATAAATCCACCCAGATTCATGGCTTATCAATTGAGGCTGTACAGCTAAACTGACAGTAGTAGGTTGTAGTACATAAGAACATAAGAATGGCCATAGTGGGTCAGACCAAAGGTCCATCTAGCCCAGTAGCCTGTGTGCCGACAGTGGCCAGCACCAGGTGCCCCAGAGAGGGTGGACCGAAGACAATGATCAAGCAATTTGTCTCCTGCCATCCTTCTCCAGCCTCTGATGAACAGAAGCCAGGGACACCATTTCTATCCCCTGGCTAATAGCCTTTTATGGATCTAACGTCCATGAAGTTATCTAGCTTCTCTTTAAACTCTGTTATAGTCCTAGCCTTCACAGCCTCCTCTGGCAAGGAGTTCCACAGGTTGACTAAAAGATTAACCTGTCTTTTAACGCTGTGTGAAGAAGAACTTTCTTTTATTAGTTTTAAACCTGCTACCCATTAATTTCATTTGGTGTCCTCTAGTTCTTCTATTTAGGGAACTAATAAATAACTTTTCTTTATCGGCCCTCTCCACACCACTCATGATTTTATAGACCTCTATCATATACCCCCTCAGTCTCCTCTTTTCTAAACTGAAAAGTCCCAGTCGCTTTAACCTCTCCTCATATGGGACCCGTTCCAAACCCCTAATCATTTTAGTTGCCCTTTTCTGAACCCTTTCCAAGGCCAAAATATCTTTTTTGAGGTGAGGAGACCACATCTGTACACAGTATTCAAGATGTGGGCGTACCATAGTTTTATACAGGGGCAGTAAGATATTCTGGGTCTTATTTTCTATCCCTTTCCTAATAATTCCTAGCATCCTATTTGCCTTTTTGACCGCCGCTGCACTCTGTGTGGAAGTTTTCAGAGAACTGTCCACGATAACTCCAAGATCTCTTTCCTGATTTGTCGTAGCCAAATTAGCCCCCATCATACTGTACGTATAGTTGGGGTTATTTTTCCCGATGTGCATTACTTTACACTTATCCACATTAAATTTCATTTGCCATTTTGTTGCCCAATCACTCAGTTTGGTGAGATCTTCTTGGAGTCCCTCACAGTCTGCTTCTGTCTTGACTATCCTAAACAGTTTGGTATCATCTGCAAACTTTACTACCTCACTGCTTACCCCTTTCTCCAGATCATTTATGAATAAGTTGAAAAGGATTGGTCCCAGGACTGACCCTTGGGGTACACCACTAGTTACCCCTCTCCAATCTGAAAATTTACCATTTATTCCTACCCTTTGTTTCCTGTCTTTTAACCAGTTCTCAATCCAAGAAAGGACCTTCCCTCTTATCCCATGGCCATGTAATTTACACAAGAGCCTTTGGTGAGGGACCTTGTCAAAGGCTTTCTGAAAATCCAAGTATACTATATCTACTGGATCCCCCTTGTCCGCATGTTTGTTAACCCCTTCAAAGAACTCTAATAGATTAGTAAGACAGGATTTCCCTTTACAGAAACCATGTTGACTTTTGTCCAACAAATTATGTTCTTCTACATGCTTCACAATTTTATTCTTTACTATTGTTTCGACTAATTTGCCCGGTACTGAAGTTAGACTTACCGGTCTGTAATTGCCAGGATCGCCCCTTTTTAAATATTGGTGTCACGTTGGCTACCTTCCAGTCATTAGGTACAGAAGCCGATTTAAAGGATAGGTTACAAACCACAGATAATAGCTCAGCAATTTCCCATTTAAGTTCTTTTAGAACCCTTGGATGAATGCCATCCGGTCCCGGAGATTTGTTAACATTAAGTTTTTCTATTTGTTCCAAAACCTCCTCTAGAATGCCATCTGGTCCCGGTGATTGGTTAACATTAAGTTTTTCTATTTGTTCCAAAACCTCCTCTAATGACACTTCAATCCGGGACAGTTCCTCAGATTCATCACCCACAAAGGATGGTGCAGATTTGGGAATCTCCCTAACGTCTTCAGCCGTGAAGACTGAAGCAAAGAAATCATTAAGTTTATCCGCAATGGCTTGATCGTCCTTGATTGCTCCTTTTATATCTCGATCGTCTAGGGGACCCACAGGTTTTTTCGCAGGCTTCCTGCTTCTAATGTACTTAAAAAACATTTTGTTTTTTCTTTGAGAATTATTTCACGTTGGACTGAAGACCAGATCGAATGTTTGCATGCTTCCTTCATCTTGCAATCCTTCTAGTTCTGGCAAGTCATTCAGAAACTGAAACGAGACCATGGCAAATTACCTTTTTAATTTGGTATACATTTAAGTTGAGTGTCTATTATGGTGTCTTTGAAAAGTTTCCATGCAGCTTGCAGAGATTTTACTTTTGTCACTGTACCTTTTAATTTCTGTTTCCTCAAAATCTTTTTTTGCTTTTCATATTACATTTTTACACTTGATTTGACAGTGTTTATGTTCCTTTCTATTTATCTCACTAGGATTGGACTTCCACTTCTTAAAAGATGCCTTTTTGTCCCTCACTGCTTCTTTTACATGGTGGTTAAGCCATGGTGACTCTTTTTTAGGTCTCTTGCTATGTTTTTTAATTTGGTATACATTTAAGTTGAGTCTCTAGTATGGTGTCTTTAAAAAGTTTCCATGAGCTTGCAGGGATTTGGATCTAGTCATTATGCCTTTTAATTTCTGTTTAAGTAACTTCCTCATTTTTGCGTAATTCCCCTTTTTGAAATTAAATGCCAGGGTGCTGGACTGTTGAGGTGTTCTTCCCACCACAGGAATGTTAAATGTTGTTATATTATGGTCACTATTCCCAAGCGGTCCTGCAATGGTTATCTCCTGGACCTGATCCTGCGCTCCTCTCAGGACTATATAGAGAATTGCCTCTCCCCTTGTGAGTTCCTGTACCAGCTGCTCCAAGAAGCAGTCATTTAAGCCATTGAGAAATTTTATCCCTGCTTCTCTTCGTGAGGTGACATGTATCCAGTGAATATGGGGATAATTAAAATCCCTCATTATTATAGAGTTCTTTATTTTGGTAGCCTCTCTAATCTCCCTTAGCATTTCAGTGTCCGTATCACTGTCCTGGTCAGGTGGTCGGTAATATATCCCTACTGCTAATTTCTTATTATTGGAGTATGGAATTACTATCCATAGTGATTCTATTGAACATGTTGATTCACTTAATATTTTTATTTCATTTGATTCTACATTATCTTGCACATACAGTGCCACTCCGCCACCCAGCCGGCCTGCTCTATCTTTTCGATATATTTTATATCCCAATATGATTGTGTCCCACAGATTTTCCTCATTCCACCAGGTTTCAGTGATGCCTATTATGTCAGTCTCCTCCTTTAATACGAGGTATTCTAGTTCACCCATCTTATTAGTCAGACTCCTAGCATTTGTGTAGAAGCACTTTAGAAATTTGCCACTGCTTTTTTGTCTGCCCTTCCCTGATGCATTGGATTCCATTATATGCAGTTGTTTGTCTGCTCTGGCCCATGGTTTGTCCTCTTCCCTCCTCCCTTTCTGACTACAGCTTAGAGAATCTCTATCAATGGATTCTCCTCTAAGAGAAGTCTCCATCCGATTTACGTGCATCTCCGCACCAATCGGCTTTCCCCCATCTCTTAGTTTAAAAACTGCTCTACGGCCTTTTTAATGTACTAAATATAGCAATGAAGAATTTATTTTTAGTATGCAGTTTTCCCCAGAATTGTAATATCTGGACCAAGATGGGAAGGTATAGCAGATTTTTAAATTGTTAAAGCTAAAGAGCATGTTTAAATAAATGCTACCAATGACTTTTTAAGAAGAAGTGTGAATACCTAGAACAGTTAAAGTACAATTCCACTATGTCAAAGCCATATTAAAAGAATTAAAATAGTTGTAGTGGTAATAAAGAATCAGATTTTGAACTTGTACTTCAAAGGTGATTGCTCCTTTGATTGACAAGGTCACACATGCAAGTAAGTGTGTGTGCATGGCAGTGAAGTGATCACAATCTGTCCTGTTGTAGATTACTGTTCAACAGCACCAAACCCTCTCCAGTGAGAGAAATGGACCTTTTAACATTTCTAATACTGTAATTATTGAAAAGAAGAGAATATAACATAAAATGGGAAAGAGGTTTGTATAATTTGTATATTCTTCATGAAGGAGCATTTGCAGTTTAACGCATGATAAAATGTATTAATTCAGCTTCTTTTAAAATGTTCTTTGTCCTTGACTCAGTCCCTCAATTATATGCATTAACAATTGATTTGTTTAGGTCAATAAATGAATCTAAATCTGTGTCTGATGTGGCAGCTACCCTAAAATTGTATAGGTCTGTAGTTCTGAGTACCGTAAAATCTCGAGTATAATACGCACTTATGTATAATGCGCAACCTGAGTTTAAACTCTTAAAATCATGAAAAAAACGAACTCCTATGTATAATGCTTACCCATTATACAGGAGAACAGGAGGGGAAGGAACGGGAAGGAAACCTGCCCCCCGCCCAGCTACCTGCACGCTAAGCTCGCGCCTGCCGGGGGGGAGGGCCTCCCCTGCGCAGCTCATGCCTGCCCCTCTTCCTCCCCCGTCCAGCTCGTGCCTGCCGAGGGTGAGTTTAAAACTTTTTTTAAAAAAAAACCTCCTATGGATAATGCGTGCCCCAACTTTGATGCTAAAAAAAAATGGGAAAAAAGTGTATTATACTCGTGATTTTACGGTAATTTATGTAAACTGTTCCATTTTACTGAAATTTCTTTCTAATTGTGTTTAAGGTCAGAATAACAAAGTGAAAAGAAATCCCTGTGTAAGAAATATTGGACCAGTGCCTTATCTGGTATAAAGTAGAGTAATGACTGCAATGGAGTCAGTTACCATCTGAGGATATGACCCACTGTGTTATGAAATAACTAAACATACAGGCTGCGTCTACACTGGCAAGATTTTGCGCTAAAGCAATTGCTTTTGCGCAAAATCTTGCTGCCTGTCTGCATGTTCTACTGTATGAA